AAGGCAAACTCTTAGCTGTGAGCCCCTGTACAAATGAAAAGTTAAACACTTCCAACATTCAGTGGCACAAAATAAGCAGTACCATTCCAAAAGGTACAAACAGGGAGACACACATATACATGACCCAATCACTGCCCAAAAGCCCTGTGTATGATCACAGGAGGCTTTGGGGGGGACATTTAGATATAAGCCATAACAAGATGTTTGTCTGTTCTCGATGCTGTCCTTTTAATACTAGCTGTACAAGCCACTTCATGCCAAGAGAAGTCTACAGATGACAATTACATAATTTAAAAAGCTATGTTCTTCATGTCTAAAAATGAGGAAATGTTAATCATTTAACTGAAGTATCCAAAACTAATAATTTCAAACATGACCTGGCTGCTCAGTGGGTCCAGCATCTTATTAAGTAGCCCTTAGAGAAAACTTTGGCAAAAATTTAGGCTCAGTAAAACTTACTACACGGATGATTAAATTAAAGGCTCATTTGCTTATTGCGAAGGTTAGGTAAACAGGCAACTAAATCAATCAGTTGATTTGCTTGCTTTAAATGAGTCAATTAAAATTAAATGAAAAATAGTCAATCATTATATAAAAACAAAACAAAATAAAATCAGTGTTGGATGAAAGAAAAGTTTCTTCTTGAGAGGAACTGAGCTGGGCTAGTTGAGAAAGAGTAGATGGTAAATGGATATAAAGTTTTGGTTTCAAAACTTTCAGAATCTTCAGTCAAGTCTTTTTGGTCTGGCCATGCTATGCCGAGGGCTTGAAGGGTGCACTATTGCAAAGCAGTCATCAATTTCTGTGTTTTCCCAGTGACACAGCACAGCACGTGTGAATGAACTCCCTCTAGGGACACAGTATCGTGACATAGATTTGCCAAGCTAACCTAATTCTCCCTGTGACTCACAGATTCAAACATATCCCCTCTCTTCATGGTTTCCAAAGAAACCTACAGGATTTATAGCTTTTTCTATCTGAGAGATTTGGAGTATTTCCTGTGCTACATTTCTGGTCTGTTGGGGATTATCTTGACATTTTCTTAAACTTAGGATGTGTGTCTAAAAATCCATAAGATTTCAAGAGAGCGCACAACTGCTCAGTACCCTCTGACTGTGGAGTGCCTGAGTGCTTTGCTCAGAAAGCCAGCAGTTGTACAAATCTTCTATTAGAATCCTGTCAGAGAAACACAGTAAAGGACCTGATGACTTCGCTTGAGACTTTAAACACATATACTCAATTAAATGACTCAGCTGGAATCAACACAAGTATTTCAGTCCTTAAATATTTAAAATTTTGCCTCTGCAGACATAAACCACAGGAGTCTGTCAACATGACTTGTCTCAAGAGCTTTTACAGAGAGCCCAGGCTAGTGAAATAACCATCAAAGAATTATATTAGATATCACTTCATTCTCCAGGTTCCAGCAATGTGTGAAGATGGTTGAAAAATCCAAAGGCAGCAATAAGCCTAGAATGAAAATTAGCTTCCTGACCTTCAAGTCCTTTTACCTAAAGGGAATCTTTTGATTTTTTTAAATGTTGTTTTTAGTGGTTTCTTATATTCTCAAGTCTGTATTTCTATTTCTTCCCACTCGTACGAGATACCTAGAGCAGTCAAATGCATTTTTATTTTGTCAGTCTTTATTTTTATTGGTCCATGTTTGCAGTGCATAGTTATTACCCTCATGGGGAGTTGGTGGGTATACACAACACATCTTGATTATCTTTACTTCCTCTTCTCCTCCTGTCCCTCCTTCTTTCCTCCATCTGGTTTCCTTCCCACTTGCAAAAGCTCTGTCTCTGTGTTTCCTCTTTTGGGTCCATAATTCTAAATGATAAACTCATGCTCCTATTTTCTCCAGTTATTAATTTAGACATCTAGCTATGACAGATAAAAGTCCCGCCCTCTTATCACTTTACTCTTTTTCCTATCCGTCTCCTATTATACGTCATTATTTTTACTAAAGTCAATGCTTAGTATAAAATCATTACAATTTAAATATATACCCTAGAGCTAAAGTGTATACTATGATACATTTCCCTTTGTGTCACTAGAAATTTTTCAAATGTTTTTACTTGTTACACCTTGCCTTGGTTACTTTTCTCTTGTTTCTGAGACAAAATACCTGACACCCAGAATTAAAGAAGGAAAAGTTTATTTGGTTCACAGTTTGTGGAGGTTTCAGTCCATACTCAGCTGGCTCCAAGACAGAGTGGCACATGGCACAGGGCAACCTTTCATGGTGGTGGAAGACAGCAAAAGCAACAAGAGCAAAAGGGAGGAGTGGCAGGAAGCAGCCTCTTCCTCTCCCTTACGTATGCAAACTATCTGCTCCAGAGCTGTATAGCACTCACACCTATGAATCAAAAACTCTAAAAGCCCACCCTATGACTGCATGTGGCTTTGTGGGGCCACCCAGACACAAACCATAATGCACCTGCTATCCATGTATCTTCCCCACCCTGCCCTCAAACAAATGGTATTGTGATATCAGCTCTTCTACTGAGTAGACTTTGCCTGAAGACATCCACTGATGGCCCTCATCTGTCATTCTGCCGTGGTTATACAGCCAGTTACCTAGGACCCCTCATTGCTGTTCTGTTAGGCTGGCTCTACTTTTCTTCAGGTTTTACATTTTCCTCTTTCTCATTTTATTCCTAACCTTAATGGAGCCCATTCACTGGTAGAAAAGTGTACAGAAATGCAAATGTCTTAACCTTTGCATATATGAAGATGTCATTTTTCTGAGAAAATATGGGCCTCAAACTTATGTTGCCTCCCCATCTTGCAGGAGCTGCTCTACTGTCCTCAAATTTATAAAGCCACTTCTGAATGAGACAATGTCAATGCCACTCTCAGCCTCCCATCTTTTTATAACGTGACCTAATGTTTTTACTGGAAATTTTGGGTGTCTTCTCCATTTCTGTGGGTGTGTATTGATGTGGTATTCCTTCATTTAGTGTGCCGTGCGTGGTAACCCTTTGAATCTGGAAGCTCGATTTTTATTTTCCTCCATTTGTTTCTTGACTTCTAAAATTGCGCTGCAGTCTCTCATCCACTGCTATACTTTATACCTGGATGTCGCCCCCCCCAAGCATCATGAGTAAAAGTAGGACCTTTGGAAGGTGATTAGATTATGTGGGCTTATAGCTGACTTGCTACTGGGGGTGTCTAATCTGGTTGGAAGAGGCCAGTTACTGGCGGCGTGGTCTGGGTGGGCTTAGCCCCTGACTCTCTCACCTCCTCCTGTCCATCATGCCATGAGCAGCTCTTCCTTTGTCATTCCCCTCTGCCATGCAGACTTGCCCTAGAGCAACTGTGCTATGGACTGAAACCTCCACAAACTGTCTATCAAAACAAACATCTCTTCCTTTAAGTTGTGGGGCTCCTGGTTTGGGTGACTGAGAGTCCAAAAGCATGGTGCTGACACCTGGTAAAGGCCTGGTCACTGCATCATAACATGGTAGAGAGTAACACGTGATGAGAGAGAGTAGAGTAGTAGCTCAAGTCTCTCTTCTTATTATGAAGTCACTAATGTCATAATGGGTCCCTCCTCTCATGACCTCATCTAATCCTAATTACCTGCCCAATGTCCTACTTCCAAATACTATTAAGATATGAACTTGGGGGTTCAGTTTCCAGCATGTGAGCTTTTGAGGGAGATGATGGAGACCACTACAAAGCAGCCCTGAGCAGGACTTAAATTAATCAATGGGCCTTTTATGTTCACTTGTGAATCTATCCAAGGCCTAGGCTCCTTGTCTGGAAATGGGCAGCAGACTTATGGTAAGCGAACCTCTGTGAGTCATTACTCCCTGCTAAAGCCTGTGATGGTGGATGAAGCCAGAAAGCCTCAAAGGATAAGACAAGATCACAGCCAAGGACATCTGGATCCATCCTCAATTAGATAAAGACAATAGCCTCAGGCATCTCACTCCTGGGTGGATTAACTTAATCTTTATTAAGGATTAATTTAATGCCATACTTGGAGAAGTCCTTGAGTGATCCTGTCCTTCTTGAGTACTCCCCTCCCTTCTTCTGATAGCCAAATAAATATGGGCCACCCAGAGAAGGTCTTGGCTTTACTCCTGAGAGAAACTCAAATTCTATGAGAGGGCTTTGATCCTACTGGAGCCCTGAAATCATTCCACTCATCTCTTTTTATTTAGCCTTCACCATATACTCATTCAGGAGATTGTGGACCTGGTCAGCTTCAATAACTAAGGCATATTATTAACCTGTTAGGGAGACACATTCAAACCAGAGCAATACAATATTTTTCAACAAAATAAAGTGTTAAAACTCTTACTTTTATAGAAAACAAGAATAATTCCAACTGGCCTTAGGAAATCATTGCTTTCATAAAAATGAAAAATCAACAGATTGATCAAGGATAACTGGATGTAGATGTACAGAAATGTCCTTAGAATCTGCTTCTCTTGCTCTTTGCTCAGCGCACACCTGTGGAATATTATTCTCATCTAAATTTTTTGGGTGTGCCAAAAGGAAATCCCTTTTCCAGATTAAACAGTCTGTGATCTTATACCCATCCCTGGGCCAGTGCTATAATATGGGTGGGAGTAGTGAAGCCACGCCCACTCAACCACATGAACGCAGTCACATATAGTTTGAATGGAGGTGGAAATAAAAGCACAAACCAAACCTGACATGTGAGGTTATGAGTTGGAAAAACCTTAATGAGAATGATTAGTAAATGACATAAAAAATCAATGAAGTGATGACAAAGTCATAGAACAAAGTGACACAAAGCTTGTATATATTTGCAGAAATGCTGGGCTGAGGTAACTCTCATGCTGAAATTATAAAGAAAGCAAAAACAGTTTTTGTGTGCCCTACATAAAGATAGACCAGAGCTACATCCTTGCCTGGGTATGTGCTTAAATTGTATATTGAGTGTAGAAAATGATTTAATTGAGGTTAATTTTCCTATGCAATGCATATATATGTCTTTTTCATCTACCCAGAAATGGATAATAAATTTGTAATTACATTTGCTTATCTATCCAAGTACCATACATATAAGCAATACTAAATTGAGAAAATGGTGAACTTAATCACACTTTATTTGAAATAAAGTAAGAAAATAAATTCATTAAAAGAAAGGAGTGGATATTCTCAAGGCTCTGGAAATAGAGTTCTAATTAATTTATAGATTTAAAAGGCCACTCTGACTCAGCCTCATAATTTGAGTAATAAAACTCTTCTAATGGCTTTACAGCAAATTTACAAAATAAATAAGCAAACTTAATCAAACCATAGTGCTTGGTCAATACAAGCGTTTTTGTTGTCAGCAATTTACTCTATCAATTGAGAGCTGTAGCCATGAATTTGTGAAGCTACGTGCCTCGTATTCCATGAATATGTTAGTTGGACTCTCATAAATGCATTCTCTAGCAAATTGGGTAAGACATATCGTTAACAATCAGCCGACGTGAAAAATTCTTCCTCTTCCTCCATCAATAGACTATTTTCTAGAGCAGTTTGAGGTTCACCGTGAAACTGAGAGGTTAGAGCAGTTTCCCGTGTGTCCCCTGCTTCTGCACGGGCTGAGCCTCCCTATCGTCATTTCCCACCGAAGGGGTACATTTGTTACTATTGATGAATTACAGACACACAGTAATCGCTCGAAGTCTCTATCTTAGTTAGGGTTCACTCTTGGTGTATCTCCTAGGAGTGTGGACACATTATGATATGTATCCACCAGAACGGTTGGAATCGTTATTTTTTTCTCAATTCAACTTTTTAAAGTGGAAAACTTTTTTTTTTTTTTTTTT